TTTTAATATTTTCCTTGCTTTTCTCTGGATATACTTTTCTGGTTTTTGTGCTCGTATTTTCCCTTTGTCTCCAACACTCTTCTTTTTTTTTTTTGTTCATTCTTTTGCCTTTTTTGTGCCTTTTTAGAGCATGATTTGTAGTTCGTTTCGTTAGATGGAATTCCAATCTGCTGGCGAACAAAAGGGTGGAAATTTACGAAAAGATTTCCATAAGTTCTCATCGGGCGGCGAGGAAAACGGGGTCGATAAAGAAGTACAAAAGGATACACTTTGAACCTGTTGCGGTTCAGGGAACTTGATAAGAACTTGGATTTCTTCGGGCTAGAAAAAGTAATTCCCTATATAACTTATAGGTATTGTATCATCTAAAGATTATACATAAATAAACCATGTAATCTGATCATAATATTATTATTTTTTTTGGGTTACTTTTCTATTTTTATTACCAAAAATACTAGATTATAGCCAGTGTGATTCTACAGAATGTTATATAAAGATAAAAACTAGTTTATAGTATTTCCCTATATAAGTTATGGTTATAGTAATGTTTTAGATGATACAGAAATAAACCATGTACATACCTTACCTACATATTTTTATTACCAAATATTATTAAATTTTAGGCAGTGTGATTGCCCAGAATGTTATGTACACAGAGAAAACTATCTAAGAATATTGTTCTTGAATTGAGAACATTCGTTCTTAAAAACCGTGTAAGTACATTTTGATATCAATATAAGAACAAAATGGTGGGAAGAGAAAAGTTAAATTGAGTTTATTTAACAACTTTTTGATAAGTATACACTAAGGACTGAATAATAGTTTATTTGTACACACAATGTACTTAAATACCTCCGATTCAACTTGATTCGAGAAAAATAAAAACATTGGAAATGTTAAAATGTTTTTAAGAACATTTTCAACTCAGATGAGAACGTCAGAATTTTCTCTGTGTAAAGATAAGACTAGTTTATTTTTGTTTTTCACTTTATCACTCTAACAACTATTCAGTTTCCAAGGGGTCCACTCTAATTTCCCTGCATTCCAACAAAACACTCTAAACCCAAATCAAGTTTACACAATGCATTTTTGCAAAGCTCTCTTATCAGCCAAGGTTTCTGGCCGGAAAAAGAGGAAAAAAACCAAAATAAATAAAATAAAGCAAAAAGTTCAAATACGGCTAGGTGCACACAAATACAAATGCAAATTGAATTAATAGAAAAGTAAATATAATTGAATCAGTAACACAATTTAAGCTGATATATTGTTGCAAATTAAATAGAAATAAAATGCCACATTGCCACGGAAGCGGATAAATTAAAAAAGCGAAAGAAACAAAATTGAATTAAAATGTATTAATGAATAAAAAAACGAGCACTAACAATAAAAACGAAAAAAAGGAAACCACAAAAAACGTTTTGTGATTCATAATTTGGATGTGTGTATGTGGATTTTTTTTGGGTTTTGGGTGATTTTTGTAGAGCTCGCTTTTGTTCCCCATTTGGAGTGTGCGTGTTGTTTTGTTTGTTTTTATCTTTCCGAATTGAAAATCTTTTTTTTTTTGTATATTTTTCTGACGGTTAATTGCATAAAAATAGAGGCCGTATTTGTATTGCCTTTTTTGTGATTTTCGAACGCGACATAATTTGATTTGAAAACCTTGGACAAACGGAAAAATAAAAAACAAATGAAAAAGAAAAGAAACGGGGAGCCAAAAGAATTCTCAACTTTCGAAGGGCGATTAAATGGAGGGGTATACGGTTCGGTTCGGGTATTTTTCTCTACTTTTCTTTATTATTTCCCATTGTTTCGCTTGGCTTTATGCGACGGAAATAGTTTTTATCTCTCCCCCATTTGCTTTGATTTCAGTTTTTATTATTATTTTTTTTTTGGTTCGTATTATTATTCTACTTCTTTTTTTTTTCTTCAGTGCCCCAGTATTTTCACCACTTCTCGAAGTTATCAGCGAAATTTGCCTAACGTGTTTGTTAGTTTTTTATATATTTATTTTTTTGCCACACACATAGAAAGCTGCACAAATACATCAAAATAAATTTGTATATCTGTAGCGCTGTTAATTTTTGTTTTCATTTTTCTGATTTGCCGCCTGCAGAGTAGTTTTTTTGTTTGTTTGTTTTTAATTATAAATATGAGCTGATATCAGAGAATGGGGCGAGAAAAACAAGCTCAATGAAAAAGAAACGGCTGCAAAAAATATTGAGCCCTTTTTAGCACAAATGCAAATAGAAATGGAAAACCCTGTGAAAAGTTCAAGAAAATACATTTCGTTGAATAAATCATATTAAAAAACATTATTTACGCCTTACAAACTAGGATTTTTATTTTTTGTGTAGGTCGCATAACATAAACAACTGCAAATTTGCGTAAGTACATTTTATTTACCCCTCCAATAAAAAAAAAAACACATACAGAGTAAACTAAACCAAAAGTTGGTAGAACAATAAAAAAATATTCTTTGTTAAAAGTCAACAACAAAATAATCAGACACGAAAAACAATTTTTCGTGTCAAAATTTCCGTCGTTTTTTTGCTTTATTTCCTACTGCTGTTTTTGTTTTTCTATGGAATTTTGATTTGGTTGCGGAATAACACGAAAATAAGTATGACTTTTTTATTAGTTGCAAGTTTTTTTGGAAATACCCTTCCTATCTATTATAAGGGGTTTTTTCGTTTTAGATTGGGTTGATAATTTTTAAGTTATTTAGTTGTTTTCTAAAAAACACATGAAAAATTTATGATATTTAAAACTAAATCTATGCATATATACATATCTACATTTTTGTTTAGTTTTTTTTAGAAGAAAAGAGAATTTCAAATGGTTTTGAACCCAATTTTGATCCCAAAAAAGGGAATTTTTAATAGTTTTGAACCCCTTTTTGTTCCCTAAAATAAAGGGAATTTTAAATAGTTTTGAACCCATTTTTGATCCCAAAATTAAGAGAATTTTAAATAGCTTTGAAACCATTTTTAAGTCAAAAAACTTTCATAACTTTTTTTTTTAAGTTGAGCTTTTAATATTTTGTAATATGTTAATAATGTTTAAAATACTATTGATAGAGTTCTTATTGAGAATTTAAAAAACATGATATAAGGTTGTGATTGTTTTTCTTATATAATAAACCTCATACAAATGCACAAACATATATACATACATATGTACATTGGAAAGTACATACACATGTTTGTACCTTTGGAACTTAGGACCCACTTTATGGTTCAAAAATTAGGGGATTTATACCTAATATTTATATTACCAGGTTTTGATGGCCGTGGGGGGGCGTGGCAGTAAGGATGGATGCTGACCTGCCCTTGTTTTTGTTTGTTATCGCTTTGTTTTGTTTTGTTTTTGGACAATGAACTTGAAATTTGGAGCACGCGTTCACATGTAATTGAAATGTGTGTGAGTGGGGCAAAGGAGGGGGAAAGCAGAGTGGAGGAGGATGATGGGGAAGGTGGAGAGCAAGAGAGCGGGAGAGCAGGAGAGAGCACTCACGCACACAAACACTAACAAACAGAAACCAGGGGCGGATATGAAGTGAAATTTTGGGGGCAAGGGGGAATATATACTCATTTACATATAAACAATTGTAGTGTATGATTTTCTGCAATTACCTACTATCAGAATATTTATAAATGGCTTATATTATTTGTCCCCATTTTTCTAGCAGTGCCGCACCCCTCTCAAAATTTCTAGCTCCACCCCTGATACAATCACACGCAGATTTTGCGCCTCTCGCTCTCTTCTCTTCTCCTCCCCTCCCACTTGATTCGCAGCTTTTTTTTTTGCGCAGGCGAATGCCGCTGTGAAAACAAAAAATCGAATAAAACAGCCGACAAAAACAAAAGGCCAGAGAAACGTTGACGGCTACGTCACTCAAATGCGATTTGCAATTTTAATTTTTGCCGTTCATGTTTTTCAGTTTTTTGTGTTCATATAATTAAAGTTGTAAAAATGAATTGCAATACAGAAAAAGAGAGAGAAACGTAAATTGTAAATTGCTTTTGCTGTAAATGCGGAAATGCCTCTCTCAACGAAACAACAAGCAAATAGTACAAAAACGTAGAAAACTAAACTAAAAACCACAACAAAAAATATGGCTAAAACAAAAAAACCAGGGAAGAAGAAAAAACTATAAGCCACAAAAACAAGCGAAAACGATAAGCCAAAAAACGAGCGCAAAAAATTGCCCCAAAAGTTAGACAGCTATAGGTAAAATTTTAGAGAAATGTCTTACAAACTTATATATAATTAAATATATAATATAAATATTTAAGGTATCATAATTGAATTTAAAAAAATCTATACAATTTGTAATATAATTTTTTTGAAAATAACTACTATTATTTTGAGCCCGACTGTGGGGGAATAACAACAATGGAGTGCGCGGGGAAATTTGTGGCGTTTTTCCATAGGCCGCAAAAAAAAAACTTAATTATCAAGCTTAGACAGAAAAACAGAAAGCTGTAGACAAAAAATGTAAATTACTGGCCTATGAATTTAATTTAATTTTTTGCAGGTCTATGGGTTTTTTTTTTCTTCTCTTTCATATTTTTTATTTTCGCAATTAGTTGGCAAAAAAAATTACAATAAGTGAAGAAAAAATGGCAATCGTTTCCTGGGCGAAAAACAATTGTTTACAATAATTGCATATGATAATTATGTCAATTTCGAACATTCAGTTGGCAAAGTCAACAAACCCGGAAACCTTCGACGAGAACAACGGAATTTTTATCGTAATATTTTGTTGGCCTTTTTTTTTTTTTGTTTAACAAAAAACACGCACAAAACAAAACATGGAAAAAATAAAAAAAGAAGCACACAAAATATATTATTAAAAAGGGGAGAGCGGCGACCAATAAAAAAAAAAACAAAACAAAAAAATCACACAAATAACACACAACTTTTGTTTGGCTAAAAATAAATCGACGTTCGTTTTGCGTGTCTTTTTAGCACATGAAATAAATAATTTGTTTTCTCACCTTTTCTTTATGACTTTTCGCGGTATCTTTTCTTTTGTTTTTTTGCTTTTCTTTATGTTTTTTGTTTTGTTATTCGAATTGAATTGCACACGCAGCAGATTTTGGCGAAAAAAAACTCATTCATTCATACATTTTTATATCATTTTTTTCTCGTTGAACTTTAAAAAAAAAAACATGCAGTTCAAATCCCGCGCTTTTTTTTGGGTTAACGGTAATCACTCGAAATGTTAAAATTACTACAGCACTAACCACAAAATTGTCATAAAAGCTTCACTTAAATAGCAGAAAATCACAAAAAATAAATGTGTCTTTTTAGTTTTCAAATATTCTGGAATATTGTGTTCATGTTTTTATGTTGATATTTCCCGGAACCGGAACTTGGCTGCAATGCAATGCGTTGCGATGCGCGTTTAAGTTAAGACTAATATTCGACTCGGCGGTAACATTGTATTTTAAGTGAGCGGCCAGCTGCGCAGTCGACGTGGCCGGCGTTGCCAGATCGCGAAGCGGCAATACCACTAAAAAATCCAAAAAGTCCCCCTAAATTCAAAATCATTCATTTAAAACACTTTAAAGGCGTTAAATTAACATAGTTAAAGTAATTATAACCAGGAAAAAACAGCGATCAAAAATATTTATTCCTTGTAATTGTTATTCTTAATTTGTTACGTACTACGATTTTGTTTTATTCATTATTCCAAGTTGGGGGATTTTTAGACAGTGTCAATAAAGTTTGGTTCTTCTCTCCTAAATTCAGATAGCAAACCAACCTTTTACAGATAGGATTAAAAAGTGTGTTATTTTTGGCATAAATTTATCAAAATTATAGTAGTCTCTAAACATTTTTTCTATTATTTCTCCCTGGAAAAGCAGCAATAAGTGTAATTAATCATATCATATATTATTAATCTTTGGTATTTCTTATTAGCATAATACTTTTTAGAACTTTTTACACTGGAACTCTTTTACAAAAATGGTTCATCGCTTTATCGACGGAAATTAAACCAAATTATATTTAAATACTTAACAAAACTTGTTCATCGCTTTATCGACGAAAAGCCTTAAATATAAAATAAATGATTTTAGCAGAGCCAACTGATTCTGGTACCCTGGTCCTGATTTATTCAAAACTCTTGAGCCAAATCTAACTGACTCGTTTACGACTTCTCGCATGTATACCAAAAAATATAAAATAGATTATTACCTATGTCTTGCATCATATGGAGTTGCCTTGTTAACGACTACCCCACACGCGTAGGTCCGAAGAGAGGGTGAACTTTAAGGGCGGCGTGCGCCTGGTGGCGCTCGATTGGTGCGATCGGGGCGATCGTTTTATTCTGTTAACAATTCAAATCAGCCTCATACATTTCAAACTAACTTAATCTTACCGCAGTGTGCCCTCCTACGATTCACAAGTCAATGAAAAGCACAATTTATGGCGGCATCCATTAAACCGATATTAGTAGGCCCGCACTTCAAGGGCCAAGAAATCCATACGAGATCGGATAAATTAACAAATACTAGATTTCTCTTACAATACTTAGTCTATCTATCGATTACAATGTTCGACCGTCGACATCCCCGACCCCGTGAAGAACCGCTTCACTCAAATCCAAAACTGCAAGTTTTGAGACGGGCCGCAACATTGTCCGAGATAGGCCATTGTCGTTCACGCGCACAGTAGCGCGTCTGACGACTCCATCAGCTCCGCTGTAGACCTCCTCCACGATTCCCTTGCGCCACTCTCGTCTGGGCAAGGCAGGATCGCAGACGAAGACCATATCGCCCTGGCGGATGGGCTCCGTTCTCCGGCACCACTTCTCGCGGCGCACAAGCGTAGGCAGGTACTCCAGGACCCACCTCCTCCAGAAACGGTCTCGCAGCATGCGAGCAATCCTCCACTGCTTTCGCGTAGAACCCTCCTTGGGCAGCTCCGCATCCAATCCAGGCGTATTCGGCAGGTTAGCTGCTCCCTTGAGCAGATCATTTGGCGTCAACGGCGCCTCTTGGTCCGCATCCACCGGCAAGTGGGTGAGCGGACGCGAGTTGACCACATTCTCCGCCTCGATCAGGAAACTCTCCAACACATGATCCTTCGGCGCAACTTCCTTCAGGGTATGGCGCAGCACTCGTTTGACGCACTGCACCATCCGCTCCCATACTCCGCCCTCAGACGGGTTCGATGGGCAATTGAAATCCCATTCAATGCTTCTGCTGGACAACTCACTCTGTATCCTCTCCGTCTCGAACACGTCTCCAAATCGCTTGGCCTCCCTGTCAGCTCCCACGAAGTTCTTGCCGTTATCACTCCGCAGTCTATGTACTGGTCCTCTACGGCAGACGAAGTTCCTCATCGCTATTATGCAGGAATCCGTCGACAGGTCATGAGCCAACTCCAGATGAATCGCCCTTGTCGTCAAGCATGTGAACAAGGCGACCCAACGCTTCTCTCTGTGACGGGATACAGTCACCAGCAGTGGCCCAAAGTAGTCCAATCCGGTGTACTTGAATGGCCATCCTCCCGCTTCCAGTCGATCCTCTGGTAGGGGTCCCATTATCGGCGGCATCGGCCGCGTTCGCTGCAACTTGCACTCGTTGCACGACGAGATTACTTCCTTCAGCACTCGCCTCATCTTCGTGACCCAGAATCTCGTCCGAATCTGAGCAATCGTCGCATCCACGTTTTGATGCTTCATCTGGGCATGAAAGTGCCTCACAATCAAATCCGTAAGACTGTGCCTGTGTGACAGTATTACGGGCCTCCTCGCACTGTACGGCATGCACAGCGCGGCATCAACTCTGCCATAAACTCGCAGAACTCCATGTTCATCCACGTAAGGCGCCAGACCTCGAATCTCACTCGAGCTGGCGACGTCCTTTCCGCATCCCGCCGACCTCATCTCGTCGGGGAACGACTCCAATTGGGCCTGTCTGACTAACAGGTTCTCCGCGGCCTCACACTCCGATGCAGTGAGTCCGTACTCCTCGATCTCGCTTCTCTGCTTGCGACACCAACGCGCAAACCTCAAGACCCATGCTGTGGTCCTCACCAGGCGACTGAAGCTCGAGAATCTCTGGAACGGAATGGCAAATTCATCCGCGGCCACCAATGCAAACTCACCGGGCATCTCCTCTTCATCAGGCGCATCTGGAACACGCTTAGTTCCCTCCTCAGGCGCCGGCCAGCCGCTCGCTGGCTGTCTCAAAAATGCGGGTCCACTTAGCCAACGTGATTCCGGGCTAAGGTCCGCCTTATTCTGCGACCGCGTCGCATCATCCGCTGCGTTGTCAGCTGTGGGTACCCACCTCCACTGGGAAACCTTCGACGACTCCAAAATCTCCGCCACTCGGTTGCCAACAAACTGCTTGTACCGGCGGTGGGTGCTGCCGATCCATCTCAGCACCGTCTTTGAGTCCGTCCACAACACCGTCTCGCTGATGTCCACACTGTGCTCCTCCTGGACAGTGTTCATCAGTCTGGTTCCAAGAACCGCTGCCTGCAGCTCCAACCTTGGGATCGACATCGTTCTCATCGGCGCGCACTTCGTCTTTGCGCACACGAAGCTAACCATCACGTTGTCATCCTCGTACGTGACCCTCCAATAGGCCACCGCCGCGAATGCAGATTGACTTGCATCCACGAACACGTGCAACTCGACGTTCCGGACTGCTCCATGCCCGAAATAGTGACGAGGGCATCGGAACTGTCTCACGGCGTCCATCTCCCTGCGCCAGGCCGCAAAGGCTCTGCCTATCTCCTCCGGTAGTGGTTCGTCCCACTGGATCTTCTGCCTCCAGATCTCTCTCAACAACAGCTTCGCTGTAATCATCAGGCAGCACAGGAATCCCAATGGGTCGAACGTTGACATCAGCAGGCTCAAATACTCCCTCTTTGTAGGGACTCGATCTCCACTTAGAACGCTACTTGGCACTCGGTGATACTCCACGTTGAACCTGAAGTCGTCCGTGGCTACCTGCCAGCGCATTCCAAGGATCTTCTGCTCAGCCTCACCCCATCCGACGCTCTTGACTTGTCCGGGTGGTCCCAACGCCGCTTCCACGATGGGTGAGCTGGATGAAAACTGGCATAACTCGAATCCAGCCTCCGCATGTATCTCCTTCACTCGGGTAGATACACTTATAGCTTCGCTCTCTGTAGCGAAACTGTCCACATAGTCATCGACGTAGTGGTAGTCGATGATGGCCTTGACTGCCCTCGGGTCCGAATCCCGAAACTTCAGGGCATTCACCGTCTTTACGTAATGCGCAGCGCTCGGCGAGCAGGCTGCTCCAAAGGTCATTACGTTCATCTCGTACACATCCGGGTCTCGATCGTCGTTGCCATCTCTCCAAAGAAATCGTTGGGAACATCGATCCTCGGGTCGGATCAGCACTTGGTGGAACATCTCCTTGATGTCACCGCAGACTCCGACTGCTCCTTCCCTGAAGTGGAAGAGCACGGCTGGCAAGGGCTTGTAATGCTGAGGCCCCTTGTCCAGCGCCGAATTTAGCGAGGTTCCTCCAACCTTGGCTGCAGCATCGAACACAAGCCGGACCTTACCGGGCTTGTTCGGGTTTTCGACACCAAAATGTGGCAAATACCATAGCCGGTCGCTCGTCACCGCGACCTCATCCTGCTGCAGCTTCCTCGCATATCCTTTGGATACGTAATCCTTGATGATACGATCGTATTCCAGCGCCAACTGCCCGTTGCGCTTCAACTTCTTCTCCACATTGATCAGCCGTCTGTGCGCCATCTCATAGCTCCGTGGCAGCACAGCGTAGTCGTCCTTCCAGAGTAATCCCGTCTGGTAGCGACGCCCCACTTCCACCGTGGTATCTTCGAGGATCCTTTGTGCCCGCGCGTCATCGCTGCCTGCGACCTGTGGCGCGAGCTTCACACCAAAGCTTTCCATCTCGAAGTAGTCCTCCACCATCTTTTCCATCGTATCATCCATTGACACGGCTAGAAGGCAGGACCTCGGTGACGGCGTAGTCGATTGCCCACTTACTGGCCCAAACACAACCCATCCAAGCTCGGTTGCGGCCGCATACGGTCCCTCTCTGGCAAACCGCCTCGTCCTAAGTGGCAATCCCAAATGTCCATGGTCCAGTCCGATGAGCAACTTAGGCACCACGTTGATGTAGGGCTTCATCGGCAGACGCGCATCTTTATGCACGCCCTGGACATCTCGTCGACCTAACGTCTGCATTGGCAGACTCAGGCTCGAAACGGAGTACACGTTCCTTAAAGCGTGGCGAGTGGAATTCCCAGCTCCACTTATCTCTAGGCTCACCACGTTGCTGGGCTCTCTGCTGGCCCTTCCTCCAAACCATTGTATATTCAGCTGTCGATGTACGCCTCGCACTCCCAGATCCCTCCGTAGCTCGTCATCGATCATCGTGACGGAGGATCCTTCATCCAAG